GGGAGTTAACAGTGAGCAGTGGTACCTATAAATCGGGAAGTGGACCCTCTCCAAATACTGCATCCACTAGTGCCTCGACTTTGGACTTCCAGCTTCCCAGAACAGTGAGAAAAAATACCCTGTGGTATTCTGTTATGGCCTCCTGAGTGGACTAAGACATGGCACATTTTGAACTACAACTTCTCTCCTTACCCATTCACCAGTGTATCTCGCCCAGTCAAGTTGTGTCCTGCATAGTAATCCAACATCACAGCACCATTTACCACCCTGAAGGTTATTTACACAGCAGGCACGCCAGCTCTGCTGGCTTACTCTCTTGTGACCTTTAGTTGTGGCGTCCACTTGAATAGAAATGCCCCAGATTGCTTTAGCACAGTTCTGGAACTTCATGAGAAATGCACTGAAGAGAGAAGACCCCGGCTGGGGAGAGTGCCGACCAATAGGCTTGCAGCTCGGATGGGAAGAGGAAGTTCCACTTGTGCCTCTTCAGAGGAGCGCCAATCTCAGCCGTGGCCTTCCGGTGTCCATCGCCACCTTCCAGGGCAGACTGATAAAAGAAAGTTCCCTGACTTTCACGGGACTCTGCAGGGGCTCCAGGCCTTCAACTCTGGCTGGGTCCTCCTGCTCTCCAGTGCACAGACAGCTCTTCTGCACCCTTCCACCCCTGACTGCAGGAGGTTGCTGTGAGCCCGCCTTGTAAGATTGCTCTCCACCCTCATGACCAAATCACAGCTCCAAAGTTCCACCTTCTGTTATCATCACATTGAGGATCAGATTTCAATCCAGGGGACCTGGGCACTGCTTGAGGAGCTCCTGCAAGTCTTATTAACAGGAAGGGAACCAGCTGTGCGTGGGTCTTTCCTGCTCCTGGTAGATGCTCACAGTCACCCATTCAACCACCTGTGTCATGCGTCTGGGGTCTACAGATGAGCACGCTTGAGCCTTCAGGGCAGGATGGCTGAAGAACCACGGTATAGACGTGGAGACACCACCTTCCTTCCCTTCCCCGGGTTTGAACCTGGGGCTCTTCTGTGTGCTCCACCTCCTGGCAATGCCCTGGCGTCACTTGATGATCACTTCCCTGTAACATCCCTAGGACTCTCTTTCCCTCCTTTCTTCACTAGAATACTCTGCTCCCTTAAGTCATTTTCATTTTTCAGGAAAAGTAAAATTGCAACCTGTCTGATACAAAGGAAACAGATTGAATGCAAGGAACTGTGCAGGATGTTTGGAAAGCGTGGCCCTGAGCTATTTGGGGATAATCCTAATAATAGTAATGAACATCTTTTGAGTGCCAGGGTGAGTGGGTGCTCTCCTGAACACTCTACATGGATTAATTCATGTGCTTCTCAAGCAGTCCCACGAGGTTAATTTCATTACTGTGCCCATCTTACAGCTGAGGAAACTGAGGCACAGGGAATTTATATAGCCCAGTTCCCTCCAGGCAGCAGGAGCCACAGGCTTCCGGAAGACCGAAAGCACCAGCCTTCCTGACTCCATCGCGGGACTCCTGAGCCACTTACTCTGCCCGCCCCTACTCCCCTGGCTACAGCACCTCCCTCTGTACTCTCCATTCCTCCAGTGCTCCAGCACCCCCAGAACGGTGCACAGTCACCTGCCTCTTACCGAGGAGAGGAGCCCGGCAGAGGTGGTTCGAGCCAACAGGTTGCAAAGCATCCATCTGGCTCCAGAGCCTCTGCTCCCGACCGCTCTGAGTCTGACTCGTGTGCACACGCGCTCTGTGTGCACCTGCATGTTTGCAGGCACAGAAGCACGCTACACGCACTCGCCCTCTCCCACCGTCGGTAGTCTGCGGCCTGCACAGCTGTGGGGCTGCTGACCTGCCGAGGTTTCACCCATTAGGAAAAGAAGAACCAGAGCATGTGTCTTCTCCAGTGTCCAAGCTGATTTCCTAATGGGACTGCCGTTCTTGGGCGGCAAGGATTTTGTATTATTTTAAAATAGTGTAAATGCTAACATTGTCTTAATTTTCTTTTTTTGCTAAAATGTCCAAATTTTTCACATTTCTCTATTTTAACAGTGCTATACTAATATTGTAGCACTTTAAGTTTGTGAAAATTAAAACGGTAAATTAAAGTTTTATTATATATAAAATAAAAGAAACAAATAACTCCTAGGCTTTTTCACAGTTCTGGACGTCTGCTGCCCTCCAAAACCTCTCTTCTGCCCTCACCCTGCTCTGGAGTGGAGCCTCAGAAGGCTGGTACTGCGTCCGGCTGTCAGGACACATGAGGACGGGGCCCTGTCACCGCACCTCGTCTCCTCAGATGGAGGCCAGTGAAGAGCTGTGTGCACAGGGAGACACTGCCCAGAAGGAGCTTTCGAAGTCCCTCGAGTGGGGTCTCCAGGGAGGACTCTCCAGACTCGACCTACAGTGGAAGTCACAGCGCAAAAACCCAGAAGAGTCAGCAAAGGGACCCAGGACCGGAAGTCACTGTGGATGGAAAGGGCAGGGAGCCTGTGGGCAGATGTCCAGGACATTAGGTGCAAAATGCATGGCAGGTATGGGAACAAGATTCTCTAGTCAAAAGTGTCCAGGGCCAAGTTGATGAGTTTCAAAGCAGTCTGGTGTAAAAATTGAAAAGCAGGAAAAAAAAAAAACAATGTCATAGGCCACACTCACAGTCCTACACTGCCTAGACTGAGTTTTGCTAAGTCACTAAGGGCTTGAAATGAGGCTCCTGCTTCAGCCTCCCGGAGCACTGGGACTACAGACCAGCACCACCAGGCCCGGCCGGAAGTTGTTTTGGAGCAGGGCTATAGGGAAGGTTGCTCAAGTAATGACTGGAGTCCAAGACACGCTCCTTGTCCTTCTCCTTATCCGTAAAGGGTGTCTGCCGATCAGGGGGCTGGATGCTGGCCATCTGGAACCTCCCAGTTGTGCCTTGGTCCATGTACCTGCCTAGCTGCAGCTGTGCCGTATGTGACCACACCTCTCGGGCCACAGGGGGAGACCTCAGACCTCAGGAGTTGTAGCAGGTGCCGGGAACACTACAGGCATGCAGTAAGTAGATGGTGTCCACTGTTCCTTCTCACCCTGGCTCAGCTGCAGCAACCTCTTCCAGCAACTTGCAACTGAGTGAGATTCAGGGAGGGTGCCCCAGGGAACCACCCTGGTGGGCCCTGGGTGGGTGAGACCTTGCACCACCAGTGGGATCCTGTCTTAATCATTTCCCATTGCCTGACACCCACAGCTTGAAGGAGGAGAGGTGTACTTCTGCTCTCTGTTTCAGTGGATTCAGTTCATAATTGGCCAACTCCATGGCAGAAACGGCATGGCAGCATGGCAGCCAGGAAGCAGAGAGTGAAGGGAGGACTAGGGAGGGAGACAGCCCCTTCCCGGTCACACTTCAGTGACCCAACTCTCCCACCCAATCCCCACCTCCCAACAGCACAATCAGCTACGCACCCATTAGTGGATTAACACACCCATGAGTACAGCGCCCCATGACCCAATCACCTCCCCAAACCCCACCTTGCAACACATGAGACTCTTGGGGGATCTCAGCCTTAATAGGAAGCTGATTTGGGAAGTCACTCTTCGTAACATAAGACACCCGTGTTTGTATCCATGGAGCTGTGTGGAGTTTTATAAATATAATCAATGGTCCTGGCCAATCTAGCTTGAAGGGTGGCATCCTCCCTCAACCTAGAGGAGCCGTCCTGCCCATCTCCCCCGGACCTATGCCTCACTTGACCTTACTGAGCACTTCAGACCCTGCTCTCTGGGTTCTGAGTTCACCCCCAGTCTGGGCATTACCTGTGAGCAGTTCCTACAGCTGCTATCCTGGTTGGGAGCCAGTTCTATCCAAGCTCCACTTGATGAAGAGAAGAGAAAGAAAATGTGCATTTACCGTCATGGCACTGAGGGGCAGAGACAGTACTTTCCCCATGTGTCTACCTGGGGGGGTCGTGGTACCCTTGTTGGCCCTAGGGCCACCTTCTCTAGGGAACCATCCCCCTTGTCATTCGTCACCCCCAGTGCAAGGTACGTCCTTCACCTTGTCATTCTCCTGGCTTGCTTCTAATATAAATCGCTTAACAGTAGTCAGAATTGTAATATTTAAGTAGATATTTTGAAGTATAAAGTGCTAAATCATTTTGGTTACAACTCACTATAACTGAGAGGCGTTACTATTAGCTAGTATGTAATGTTCACAGAATTAACGAAGCGATTTTTATTGTTGTCACCATCATCCTGGGAGGCTATGAGTCTTCATGGATGGGCTTTTAAATGAGTAGCACGATCTCAAGAATATAAATTTTTAATCTCCCACTTGAAGTTGGGACATAGAGACTCACAGGGTCCAGGAGAAAACTCCTCATGTGGCCACCACCATACCTGACCTGTCCTCATCTGTCCTCCATGGTCCTTTCAGGTCACACCTGTGCAAGTGTGCAATGCTCTTTGTCCTTATATGGGTGCATGGCACCTGCCTTCCATGTCCATCAGGAGACCGCAGGGCACTCTGAGGACTTGGGGACAAACTGCAGATGTCACGGAGTGACAGCACATTTTAATCACTCCAGGCCGTGCTAATTTTGTTTCCAGCTTAGATGCCACCTTCACGGAAGCCAGCCCTGGAGATTTACACCTCACCATCCCACCACGTGCTCAGCGCCCACCCCCTCTGTGGTCCCTGCTCTGACTGAGTTGTGTCTATCTCTAATCTGTAAACTCTCTGAGGACCGGGACTCTGTTTCCTGATTCCATCTCCCGGCACCCAGATATCTTCACAGACTGCCTTGAATGATCGAATACTGAATGATCCCAAGGGGAGGGGCGTCTAATGCAGCAATGGCTTATTCGCTCCTGTGTTCACTCAAATGCTTTGCTTTGTTACACACACGAATGACAATGTGGTGACTCAAGCCTGCGTGTCTGTTGTGTCACTGTCGTGACTTCGCAGGGGCACAATGGGCAGGGACACATCTCTCAGGTGCTCCCCAGAAATCCTCATTTCTGGAAGTCTTCATTTCTGGAAGTGGGATGAGGGGTTTAATTCCTGCATCCCTGACCCAGGTCGACCACAGGAGCCACAGCTTAACGTGAAAGGTGAGATGAAGGAGGCCTTGCAGGGCAGGGTGCAGACCTCTGGGGAATCCTTGTTACAGAGGACAGGAGGACAGGAGGACAGGAGGACAGGAAGGTGGGGCTGCTTCACCCAGGCCCCCAAACTCCACAGCAGCACCAGATAGGTCTCTGGTTCCTGTAGACATAAACAGAGATGAGGCAGAGAAGGGAGGGTGAGGAGTAGAACTGAAGATCTGAAAACAGGATTTTCTGTTGTGGGGGAATGAGAAAAAAGGAAAAACACAGAGGGAGAAGTGAAAGAGATTCATTTTCTAAAAGTGTATAATGACTGAACCCCCTGGCCAAGCAGAAAATGTTCCTGAGAACAGCGACCTTGTCTTAGTTACACTGCAGATAACCCCGTTATCCCCTGGCAAGTGCCAGGAGCACATCCGCACCCTAAGAGACATCTGTGACAGGGCCACGGTGCTCGGTTCGTCAAGCAATTTCATTAAGAATTTAAAGTGGTCTGGAAGGATAACCTCTTAGGAAGATGTTACTTCAACAAGAGGCACTGAGGTTTGAAGGAGGAGAGAGTTTCCACTGCCCTTGTACATATTTAACAAAGTAAAGAACACTTCTACATTGGGTGGACAAAAAGGATCCGTGCATAAATAATTCACCATCACGCTCACAGCAGGATAGACTCTGAGAAGGCCAGCACTGGGCAACTACTTCCTCGTGCCAACATTGCAGACAGCCAACTGCACACCTGTTGTCTACATGGCTGGTCACTGAGCAAAACATCTTTACACAATGCACAACTATACATCATTTAAAAATAAAAGGTGGGGGACTGGGGGTTTAGCTCAATGGTGCCGCTGCCTACCTCACAAGTACAAGGTCTTGAGTTGGATCCATGGTACCAAAAAGGTAAAAATGAAATTAAAATAAAAGGTGACTTTTTTGTGTGTATGTGTGATGTTGGGAATTGAACTCAGGACCTTTCACACTGAGCTACACATTCTGAGATGGGACTGGCTAAGTCATTCCGTTGCCCAGGATGAACTAAAACATGCGATCCTCCTGGCTCAGCCTCCATGGTGCTGAAATTACAGGCATGTGCCACCACCTCCTGCTGAAAGGTGTCCTTTCTATGTAAGGAACCGCCCAGGTATGCCTGAGCCATGCTTAAATTTAAAAGCTCCAGTTCTTTTTCAGTTCTTCCTCTCCCCTTAGCATTGCTTGGCTTGACTCTGACCAGACCAACACAGAATATGTTAAAAAAACAAAAACAAACAAACAAACAACAAAAAAATACTAAGTGGGATGGGGATTTAGCTCAGTGGTTCCACCGCCTGCTTCCCAAGTGCAAGATCTCAAGTTCGATCCCCGGTACCCAAAAAAAAGAAAAGCCACTGAGACTGAGCGCCAGCTCTCCACCACCTCCAAAACTTCCGTGAAGAAGCTGCTTGTCCAACAATCTCACGCAGCAAGGTGTTAGTAACAAGTCGATTAAACGTTGTTATGAAGGATCATTTGCATTTCCCTAGCAGAAGGGAGACTTCTAAGGTACCTCCAGACCCCCCCCCCCCGCCCGGGTTTGGGCGCGCCTCTCG